CCGGGACGCTGGGGTTCCCCCAGCCTCAAGGCCATTTTTTTTATCTTTTTTTTCTGTTTTTTCTGTTTTTTTTTTTTTTTTTTTTTTTTATTATTTTTCTTGTTTTTTATCTCTTTTTTTTTCTTTTCTCTTCTTTTTTCTGTATTCTTTTTTTCTCTATTCTTTATATTTTTCTTTTTTTTTTTTCCTTTTTTTTCTCTTTTCTCTTTTCTTTTCTTTTCTTTTTCTTTTCTTTTTTTCAGCAATTACAAACAGTGTTTTTGAAATTCTTTTCAATTGTTTTTGACTTGATTTTTTTTGTGTTTTGAAAATAAAATGATAGTCACAAAAAATCCCCCCCCAAAAAACTCAACCAAGATGCAAAAGGATTGTAATGAACCTTGCAGCCAAACTAAGTGAGGAAGAGAGGGCAGGTACCCGCGGTACCTGCCAAAAGTACCGCCGGTACCTGCCGGGAGGTGCCTGGTGCGGTACTTGGTACCTATTTTCTGAAAAAATTCAACAGGTACCTAGGTACCAACAGGTACCCAAGTACAAACGAACAATCTCTATTCCAATTTATGGATTCACATTTCTGCTATATTAATTTCAAATAAGTTTCTGCCTCAGGTGTCCCAGGGCTTTCAACTTTCTCTCAGCTCATGCAACGGTCCAGTGCTTGGTCGGCATCACTGATGGGGCAGAAGGGAGTGACCGGCGGTTCCAGTGAGCGGCTTGGCAGGCCTACAAACTGCTCCGGTTCTGAATATGAACCTTGTTTTTTGTTAATTCTCCTCCAGGAGCATCTACTGGAGCAACATGGCTCCGGAGGTGGTTTTATCCCTGGGTGTTATCTGACATCTGTCAAGATAAAACCCGACTGAGAAAATGAAAATATGGGATTGCCAAAATCAAATTCAAAGGATTACAAAAAATTCAAAAAGGAAACAGATCCAAGGTTTCTTGCAAGCACAATATGTACCTTATTTTTTATGTTTTTTTTTGAAATTTTGAATTTATTTCCTAGATTTTAATGTGCATAGAATTTAATGGCGCAATCCAATTTGCATAAAACTCAATGGTTCATTTTTAATACTGAAATTAGACATATTTTTTGGGCATTAATAAAAAAACACGGTTTTTCCGCGTTTACACGCGGTTTTGCTGCGGCACAGCGCACGCGGTTTCCGCGTTTAAACACGGTTTTTTAATTAATTTTTTACCGCTTATTTTTTGAGTTTTTTTGAATTTTTAAAATTGTTTCCTGGGTTTCCAAGCGCGTAGAATTTAATGGTAAAAACCATTTTCCATAAAAATGAATTTTAATTATTAATTATTTTTTTCACTCATTTCTCAATTAATTGTTTGCATACATGTATGTACCTTATTTTTTTATGTTTTTTTGAAATTTTGAATTTATTTCCTAGGTTCTAATATGCTTAGAATTTAATGGCGCAATCCAATTTTTTTAAAACTCAACAGTTCACTTTTAATACTCAAATTACACCCATTTTTTCACTTAATTTTTTACAGCTTAATTTTCATCATTTTTTGACATTTTAAATTTATTTCCTACAATTTAAGACATGTAGAAAATTATGGTAACAACCATTTTTCCCCAAGTTGAAAACTATACCTTGAATGCTGCATTTGACACGTTTTTTTAATTAATTCATCACTTTTTCACCTGATTGTTTGCATACATGTGTGTACCTTATTTTTTATGCTTTTTTGAAGTTTTGAAGTTGTTTCCTACATCTAAACGTGTGTAGAATTTAATTGTAACATCCAATTTTCTTAAACCTCAACGGTTCATTTTTAATACTGAAATTAGACACATTTTTTCACTTAAATTTCTACAGGTTAATTTTCATTCTTTTTTGAAATTTTAAATTTATTTCCCACACTTTAAGACATGATTAAAATGATGGTAACAATCATTTTGCATAAAAACCAAAGATTGTTATTGAATACTGTGTTAGACATGTTTTTTTGAATGTTTTGTTAATTGCTTTTTACCGGCTGGGTTTTAATCATTTTTTGAAATTTGAAATTTATTTGATACATTTAAAAATGTGTAAAATTGAATGGTGAAGTCCAATTTCCCTAAAAATACAAGCTTCAATCTTAATACATGAGTGTACCCCGTTTCTTGCACAATTTGTACCGTATACAAATTTTATTTGAATGCAAAATGGATACAGCCAGCAATTTTGAAACCTTTCAAAGTGTAGGAAATGAACTTGAAATTCCAAAACATTAGGATAATTAAGCATGTAAGAATTAATTAAAAAAACACGTCAAAGGCATTATTCAAGATACAGTTCTTATTTTGATGCAAAGTGATGGTTACCATCATCTTCAACATGTCTTAAAGTGTAGGAAAAAAATTTAAAATGTCAAAAAATAATGAAAATTAAGCTCTTAAGAATCAATTGAAAAATATGACTAATTACAGTATTCAGAGTGAACCGTTGAGTTTTAATAAAATTAAATGTTACCATTAAATTCTACACACTTTTAAATGTAGGAAGAAACTTTAAAACTTCAAAAAAGCATAAAAAATAAGGTACACACATGTATGCAAACAATTAGGTGAAAAAGTGAGGAATTAATTAAAAAAACATGTCAAATGCAGCATTCAAGGTATAGTTTTCAACTTGGGGAAAAATGGTTGTTACCATAATTTTCTACATGTCTTAAAGTGTAGGAAATAAAAAATGTCAAAAAATGATGAAAATTAAGCTGTAAAAAATTAAGTGAAAAAATGGGTGTAATTTGAGTATTAAAAGTGAACCGTTGAGTTTTAAAAAAATTGGATTGCGCCATTAAATTCTACGCATATTAAAACCTAGGAAATAAATTTAAAATTTTAAAAAAATATAAAAAATAAGGTACATACATGTATGCAAACAAAATTGAGAAATGAGTGAAAAAAAATAATTAATTATCAAAATTCATTTTTATGAAAAATGGTTTTTACCATTAAATTCTACGCCTTTTATAGTGTAGGAAACAACTTTAAAAATTCAAAAAAACTCAAAAAATAACCCATAAAAAATTAATTACGCAACCGTGTTTAAAAGCGGAAACCGCGTGCGCTGTGCCGCAGCAAAACCGCGTGTAAACGCGGAAAAACCGTGTTTTTTTATTAATGCCCTATTTTTTCACTTCAATTTCTACTGGTTAATTTTCATTTTTTTTGACATTTTAATTTTTTTTCCTACACTTTAATACATGTAAAAAATTATGGTAACAACCATTTTACATAAAAATCACAGATTTTTATTGAATACTGCGTTGGAGATGTTTTTTTTATGTTTTTTGATTGATTTTTACCAGCTTAATTTTGATCATTTTTTGAAATTTTAAATTTATTTCCTACATTTATAAATGTGTAGAAGTTAATGGTGAAGTCCAATTTCCCTAAAACTCAAAGATTCAATCTGAATATGTGAGCGTAAACCGTTTCTTGCATAATTTGTACCGTATACAAATTGTATTTGAATGCAAAATGAATACAGCCATCAGTTTTAAAACCTTTCAAAATGTAGGAAATGAACTTGAAATTCCAAAAAATAAGGATAAATAAGTGTGCAAGACTTAATTAAAAAAACACGTCAAAGGCATTACTCAAGATAAAGTTTTTATTTTTATGCAAAGTGAATGTTACCATAATTTTGCACATGTCTGAAAGTGTAGGAAACAAATTAAAATGTCAAAAAATAATGAAAATTAAGCTCTTAAAAATCAATTGAAAAATATGACTAAATACAGTATTCAGAATGAACTGTTGATTTGCATGGAAATTGGATGTTAACATTAAATTCTACACACCTTTAAATGTAGGAAACAACCTTCAAATTTTGAAAAAGCATAAAAAATAAGGTACACACATGTATGCAAACAATTAAGTGAAAAAGTAAATAATTAAAAAAAATGTGTCAAATGCAGCATTCAAGGTATAGTTTTCATTTTGGGGAAGAATGGCTGCTACCATAATTTTTTTACATGTCTCAAAGTGTAGGAAAAAAAATTAAAACATCAAAAAATAATGAAAAGTAAGCTCTACAAATTCAACTGAAAAAATGGGTGGAATTGCATTATTAAAAGGGCCTTAATAAAAAAACCCGCATTTTCCGTGTTTTGACGCGCTTTTGCTGCGGCACAGCACACACGCATTCCGTGTTTAAACCCGCTTTTTTAATTAATTTATTTTTGCCATTAATTTCGAGTTTTTTTAATTTTTTAAAATTGTTTCCTACACTAAAAAACGTGTAGAATTTAATGGTAAAGTCCATTTTGCCTAAAAATAACTTTTGATTCTTAATTTTTTTTTTCACTCATTTTTTCTGTTAATTGTTTGCATCAAGTTTTTTACCTTATTTTTTAGGGCCTTAATAAAAAAACACGGTTTTTCCGTGTTTACACGCGGCTTTGCTGCGGCACAGCGCACGCGGTTTCCGCTTTTAAACACGGTTTTGTATATAATTTTTGGGCCTTAATAAAAAAACCCGCATTTTCCGCGTTTTGACGCGCTTTTGCTGCGGCACAGCACATGCGCAATCCGTGTTTAAACCCGCTTTTTTAATTAATTTATTTTTGCCATTAATTTAATTTTTTTTTTTAAGTTTTTAAAATTGTTTCCTAGGTGAAAAAATGCGTAGAATTTAATGGTGAAGTCCATTTTCCAATTAAATGACTTTTGATTATTATTTTTTTTTCCACTGATTTTGAGTTTTGTCCTCATTATTCTACGGTTTCAAACCGAAGATGTTTTGGATTTATGCCTGGCTTAAAGCCGTATCATAGCTAGAGCTGACTCTTCCAGCTCAGGTGCATGCATATTCAAAAAAAATCACCAAGTCCAACAAAGCGCGCGCACCTCCACCTCCACCCTCTCCACTCACCCCACCCCAAGTTCAGCCGACTTCAACTCGGTCAGCTTTCACCACTGCACCGACCTCCTCACACATCATCCTGTTTGTTTAGTTTTACAGAAACAACCGAATCCCAAAAAAATGGTCACCACTCGATCAAACAGAAGGCCAACAAGTCAACCAGCCCAACACGAAAGAGGAACCACATCTGCTCGTGGGAGGGGAAGGAGAGGAAGGGGGGGAGCTCAACCAGTCCGTTCAACACGTAATCAGAATTCCAACCAGCAATCAACTGGCAATCACAATGAAAGATCAGATGACGAATCTCCACCCGATGACAATGAATCCGAAGATCGCGAGGCAGAAATAGGATTCACCTTAGAGAATTTCGAAAGTCACCTGGATTCCTGGACGTTACCTTTGCTCCGACAGGTACTGAACAAGCGAAAAAAGAACTCAAACCGTATTCCACCAGAAGTTCAGGAAGCTCTCAACTTCCACAAGACCAACTATGTCAAGATCAAGCTTATGCTTGCGATACTTGGCAGAGTATCTGAGAAAACTATCAACGGCTGGCTGTGAGTCATTCCAAATTGCAACAAACTATGTTTCAAATAAATTGATGAACTGATTTATTTTTCCTCAGTGGGGAAGACAGGCCAACGCGAAAGAAAAGCAGCTATAGTCGATTTCTGGCCTTTAGCATGAAAAGTGGCGAGACACCAGGTACATGAATTTTGCCTTCCTTTTTTGATTGGATCAAGGAGAATTCTAACATCATTCAATTTCATGAATCCAGTTCCTCCCAAGGGTTGCTCAGTAGGATGGGATGAAAGGAACAAAACACTCGGAGATGCATGGAAATTAATTACGCAAGACGAACAAAACGTGTTTGAAGAGAGAATATTCGCACACTTTTCGAAACTACCAATTGGTTGCACAATTGATGACGATTTGGATGAGATCGATGAAAGTGGACAACCAACACCAAAGAAGTCCCTCAGTAGTGAAGAAGAGGCACTTTACGAGCCCCTCTATGAAAACCTTGTCAACCATGAGAAAGTGAGGCTTGTCTCTGGTCAAGGTATCGACAAAAGTGGGAATACTCCTCCTCAAGCCCTTGATCAGGTAATACGACTCAACTCCGAGGTCAGAAATCTGCCATTCATTTTCAATTTCAATATGGTTACTGACACTCCACAATTATCAGTTGTTTACTGTTGCAAACGTTTACAACTTGACCTTTTACATGTTAGCTGCAACACGCAGCCCAGGTCCCGGCAGTTTTTGCAAAGAGTTGAGTAACGATGCTCACTGGCTCTCTGTAGCAAAGAAGCAATGGGCTGCAAAAGAAACCTTCGAGGCATACAGCCATGGAAGGGCCATTCAAGAGATTGTTCAAGAATGCTCCGATACAAACCAACCACCACTCAAGAAAAAAAAGCATAGTGATACTGTTCGAACTACTCTACGAGCCGAACTGAATGAAATGCTTGGTGAGTTATTTTACTCATACATACTCCTCACCTTTGTCAGCTCACAATATACTGATTCACAAAATGAGTGCTTATTGATCAAAATTCTGATAGCTATAGCTCTTGGACGACGTAAAGCAAAGTTCCCCAAAAAAAGGGACCCATCAGCACTCATCAAGTCCAACTTCACTGGTCTTAAAATTTTGCAGTCCGAAGGATCCAAGCTAAAGGCTGAAACTCTGGTGATTGGACTGGAATGTATGTTCACTGAAGACCGGGAATTGTGGCTGGATGATGTTAGAAGTGGCCACTTCAAGATAGTTAAAGATACTGAATCTGAATCCTCTTAGTCTAGATAGTATAGGGATAGCACTCTTCAATAATAATTTGGTAGTCAAAATATAGTTAAATATATCAAATCCTCTTAATCTAGATGTTATTTTGATAGTCTTGCAGAAAAAATTAAATAGAAAGTATTCAAGTAGTGATTTTTGAAGTAAGGATTTTAAATAGTGGGGTGACACATCTAAAATCTGGTCAAAGAGCCAGCTCTGTAAGATCAATGTGCTAAAATCAATGTGCCAAACAAGAAATTGCCAGCTCAGTCAGCTCCCAGAAATCTATGAGCTCACTCGGCCAAAACCAGAGTTACCAGCTCTGTCAGATACCAAAAGAGTCAGCTCTATCATCTTTAGCTCCATCAAAAATAGCTCTATCCACTGCCAAAACAGGTAGCTCTATTCAAACCAGAATTGGCCACATCTGACAGATCATTCAGTTAGATCATAATTTCTTAGCTCATATTTCAACCAGCTCATTTGGACTCAATTGCTCCTCATATATCATTTTTTGTCAGATGATGGAAAGCTAAGATGTTAACAGAGAAATTGGATCATGTTTCTTGAGGTAATTGTCAACCACATCTCACGAAAATATAACATTGAACAGTGCAGTAGATGTGAAAGAGTATTTCAAGATGAGACAGCAACATTAGGTTATAGTTATATTTGGGGGAGAAAAACCATAAGACAAGAGTCGGAAGGGCTACAAATCAATTTGATTCATTCAGAGTAAGTAATTCTTCTTTTGGGAAATGAAATAAAAGCTAGTGGCTGACCAATACTATTTGCTACTCTTTCCCATGTAGTTTCGATGTCCACCAAAATAAAGTTTTTTTTTGTCAAGATAACTCTTTCTCAAATATATTAATCCACTCTTGATCGCCTGGCATATGCTCAAAGATTTCTTAGTAATTTGAAGGGACATTCCTACACGAGTGAATCCCTTAGCTTCAATTCCTGGGAGTGTACAATGCTTGCATCGCTTGGCGGCCCAAACGACCTTGACAACAACATCCGGTTTGAATTTGATACAAAACTGATAGTCGGGGAAAACGAATCGACCGCCAGTGGAATCTTTGATGAGTGAGGCGTCCACAATGGGGTCGACTAGGGTTCCATCAGATGTTTTTGTGGGAACAAAGAGTCCAAAGGCAAATTCGGAAGCGTCCCCTTTGTCACGATGAGGTCGATTGTAGAAGCCATTTGAAGTGAAGGTTATGTGGGGTGCACAGTCAAGCTGGGAGAGTTGAGTATTGAATTCGCCAGATGCAAATGATGGGATTTCGTTTTCTTGCATCAATTGTCGGTTTGATTCAAATGGGATGTGGCCCAGGCTTTTGAACATTTCGCCGAGGATACTTGAAACGCGAACTGATTGAGCAGCAAGGGAAAAATACTCGTTTGGGAAGGCCCGAGCAATTTGCAACTTGATGTACCGTCCAAAAAGCTCAAGAGCTTTCATGCATTTCCGCCACCCAACACCCCACATCTTACCACCCCACGTACGAGCCAGCGCAATTGGATTGACAAACTTTCTAGATTTGTGCAGAAAAGTTGTCACGATGTTGATATCGGCTTTCTCTTGTGGTGTAAGCTGATTGATGGGGGTGAATTGGACAACAGCTACTACTTCACCATTGGTGCGGTCAATGATGATGACTTTACCATGATGGAAACAATGAAATTTATCTGCTGTCTTCTGAGCTTCATTGATTTCTGTTTTAGATGGGTGGCGTGCCGGCTTTTTCTTTTCGGAATGGATTTGGGGGTACAAATGAAGTTTTTGATAAGTTCGCATCGACCATAGAGATGGCGCTCGATACCCGGGTACCTGTAGCGGGTGCGGGTACCTGCCTCAAAAATCCAATATTTTTGACACCCGCACCCGCACCCGCACCTGCTAGGGCCGCCAGGGGCGGGTACCCGGGTACCTGCACCGGGTACCTGCGGGTACCTGGCACATTTTTGCAGGCAAATTACCCAGAAATTTCACCCTTGAATTTCTGCATGACTTACCAAATGTATGATTGATATTCACTAGATATATGAGTAAGAACATAAAAATAAAGAAATAAAGAAGAACAAAATATCCTATCACTAATTTGCACTTTATCTTCTCTCTGATCTATCATCTTGAAGGCTGGAGGGTTCCCTCTGGCCTCAACAGGCCCATGTAGGACACCAAATGGTGTCCTACATAGTTTGCTGACACCTTTGTGCAGCCCAAAAAGCCCAAAACTGTATTCCCAGGGCGGGTGTCAGGGCGGGTGTCAAGGCGGGTACCCGGGTACCTGCCGTTTTTTGTCCCAAAACTCAACACCCGCACCCGCACCCAGCACCCGCGGGCGGGTACCCGCTCTGAAGAACAGGTACCTGCAAACGGGTACCGGGTACCCGCAAACGGGTACCCATTGCCATCTCTAATCGACCATATGATCTTCTGACCTTGAAAGCCAGCCTCATTGATATCAAGCGAGACGATTGAATGCCTCTCGTTCATACGTCGTCTTTTTCTAGCCTTAGACTTCATTGCATTCCTTGGTGGTACTCGCACTTCAGCCTCATTCTCCATCATGAACTGTCCCAACCAAGTACTTATACAGATCGGGAGCAGCTCACAACAGTATATGAGTATGTGATGTGTCTGTATAGCCAAAGATGAAGATCCAATTGGTGGTCTGGAATTTACAAGAATGAGAGGAATTCATCAATCATCTGAAGTTTGAAAGATGACTGGAGATTACATTACCACAATAAGTTCCAGATGTGTAGGTGATTTGAAGTAGTCTTGTAACCCCTCGATCAATCCTATCAATTCACAAGCATTCTAAAGATTGGTCAGCTCATATCAGGCAGAGATCGAATGCTTTTCACTGAGTTGGTACTTACAGGGTTAGCTGGACAATCGGAGACCTTTAGTTTTTGCTAGCTTAACCAAACAGGTGCGATATCGACTACCTGTAGATGCTGCTAGCTTAGGGAAAGAGGAGCTATATTAGAATCAAGACACCCTTACTGTTAAGGAGAGAGAATTCTTTGGACATATGTGAATCAATGCTTACATACCTAGCTTAAAGACCAGACTGAGCAAGATCGATAAAAGCGACAAGATCAATTGAATCCAGTGAGATCGATTAAAGCGACGAGATCAATTATAGCCAGTGAGATCGATCAAAGCTAGTGAGATCCATTAATGAGAGCGAGATTGATTAAAGCAAGCGAGATCGATTAAAGTGAGCGAGATTGATCAAAGCCAGTGAGATTGTTTAAAGCGAGTGAGATCGATTGAAGCAAGCGAGATCGATTAAAGACAGCGAGATCGATTAAAGAGGGTGAGATCGATTAAAGAGAGCGAGATCAATTAAAGAGAGCGAGATCAATTGAAGCAAGCGAGATTGATTAAATACAGCGATAGCGAGATCGATTAAAGACAGCGGGATCAATTAAAGAGAGCGAGATTGATTAAAGAGAGCGAGATTGATTAAAGTGAGCGAGTTCGATTAAAGCGAGCGAGATCCATTAAAGTGAAGATCGAGATCGATTAAAGCACGTCAATAAGGCAAGACCGTCAATTACAATTGTGAGTGGGAGATGATGCAAGCAACCAGATCAAAACTTTTTGAAACATAGTGAAACGATTCACACCTATATTTTGGGTGCAAGCTACCAAGACATGACCAACATTAATTAAGTACGACCTGATCCAAGAAACCTGATTTCAAGTAGATGAAATATTTTGCAACATACACACCTTTCTTTTTGTTGAAAGCTAAACCAAACAATTCCGGTCGATCGATGATCTGGAAGCAAGAAGGGAAGACCAAGAATGAGTAAGTAACAAATGTCAGCAACCGAGTAGGCAAGACAGAGATCGATTGGGCACTGACATTATTGGGGATGATTCTGAGAAGAGTTCAAAGCTTATTTGCCTACTTGAGCAGGTCTAAATCGTCCTGGATCCTGGAAAAAAAGACCAATGGAGGGGAGGCGAAGATGAAACTGAGACAGGTCAGTGCTCATCTCTGAGATCTTGATGTGACTGCGGCACATCATTTTTCCCAAATTTCAAAACCAATGGCCAAATCGGGGATCTGTGGGACCAAGAACAGCCACATGAATCACTATTTTCCTATCTTCCTCCGAATTAAAATCACAATTGTTGTAAAGCCAGGTTAAATATGACTATAAACAAGAGTAATCAGCCTCTTGTTATTGTTGTTGTTGGGGGTTTGATTTGAGGGAATTTATTTGATGAGTCTCTAATATAATAGAGTGAAAAGGGTACAAAGGTATTGGTGGTAGTTGTTGTGAGTGTGTGCGTGTGTGTGTGGGTAAGTGGTTAAGATAAGATGATAAAGTGAATGGATGAGAGATACAAAATGGAGGAAAAGGGAACTGATATTTATACAAGAATATTGCTGCTAAGTCATTGGTCTCAGCAGCCTGCTTTCTTGTGGAGAAAGCTCCATGAGACATTTTATCTAGGAGGAAAGTACTTGTGTACTTTCTTCTGGGGAAAGTAAACTTTTACTTTCAGAAGAGAAAAAGTAAAGAGTTACTTTTTCTTCTTAAAGGGAATGCTCCAGTTCTCTGGTGCATTACTTCTTTTATTGCTTTCTGATACACCATGCTCAGCAGGTGTGGCAGCAGGCACATCACTGCTGATGCCATTGCTGCTTGTATTCCCTTCTACAGGGATTACACCTTCAACACCCCCCCTTAATCCTGTAGGAGGTGATAAGCTTAGACTGATACTGAATTTTATATGTTTAACTCTGTCTAAAGCTTTGGTCATAATGTCAGCTGTCATATCAGCTGTTGGAATATATTCCAAGACTATTTCTTTGTATTTAACAGCTTCTCTGATATAATTGTAGTGAACATCAATATGCTTTGTTCTTGAGTGAAATACTGGGTTACTTGCCAGTTTGATTGCTCCTTGATTATCTGAGAATAATATTGAGTATGTTTGGATTTTATAAGTGTCTTCTAACATCTTTCTAATCCATTTTGATTCTTGTGCTGCAGATAAATAGGCTCTGTATTCTGATTCTGTGGATGATAGACTTATTGCTGAAATCTTCTTGGATCTCCATGAAATGAGATTTTTCCCCAGGAAATAAGTGAAACCACTGGTGGATTGTTTCAAGTCATTTTCAGCCCAGCTAGTATCAGAATATCCTACAAGGTTGAAATCTTCACCCTTGGAATATTCAAGTCCTAAGCTTTGAGTTCCTTTTAGATATCTCAGACATCTCTTGAAGGCTTGCCAATGCTTTATTCCTGGATTCTCTAGGAACTGAGACAATATTCCTACAGTATAGGTTATATCTGGTCTGGTGCATTGTGACAGGTAATTTAAACATCCTATGGCAGCTCTATAATCATGTTCAGTTTTCTTAAAATCTATTATTTCTTCCTCTGTAGATTTTTCCAACTTGATATTAGATTGCATAGGGGTTCCAAATGTTTTAGCATCTTCCATGTTATATTTAGTCAATAAAGCCTTCACATAATGTTCTTGGTCAACTCTGATTGATCCATCTGGTTTATGTGTAATCTTCATTCCTAAGACATGTTGTGCTTTGCCTAAGTCTTTAATTTTGAAATCTTGCTTAATCATTTTTAACAGTTGCTCTTTCTCTGGTCCTATGACAATTATGTCATCAACCCATACAAATAGTATTGTGCCATTTTTGGTGAAAAGACATGGGTCTGCCTCACTTATCTGAAATCCTTTATTTTCCAACCAGCTGGACATGGTATTGTACCATGATCTTGCTGATTGTTTCAAACCATATAGTGACTTCTTGAGCTTCATGATGTAATCATTATTACCCCCCCTCAAGAAGTTATCTATATTTTGTTTTCTAAGAGTTTCTGGCTTGGTTTCAATTAACCATTCCTTAAATCCTTCTGGGATATGCATGTAGACAGTTTCATCTTCTTCTAAAGTGGCATTGAGATATGCTGTTACAAAATCAGCTTGTCTGATTTCCTCTCCTGTTTCTACAGCAAGAGCCATTAGATACCTTAAAGTTGACAATCTTCCTGTTGGGGAGAATGTTTCTTGGTAATCAATGCCTTCTTTCTGTTTAAATCCTTGAGCAACACATCTTGCTTTGTATCTTTTCAATTCTCCTAACTCATTGAATTTCTGGGTTAATACCCATCTGCTTCCAACCAAAGTTTTCTCTTTCTTTACATCAGATCTTTCTATGATCTCAAATACTTGGTTGTTTTCTAATGAATCTAATTCTTCAAAAATAGCAGTTTTCCATTTTTGCTTGTCAGGCAGCTTCATTGCTTGTTTGTAACTATTTGGAACAACTCTGTTTTCCATTTCAAATGAGGCTTGATATGCCATGGCCTGTTGTTCTTCTTCTACCAGTTCTTCTAAATCTTCAATGTAGGCACAATTGGCTCTCCATTTGCCATATTTGTCCTCAAGATTCTTTATTCTTTCACTTCTTCTGACTGGTACTACAGGTTTAATAACCTTTTTAACTTGTGATTTTTCTTTAGTGTGTATTATTTCAGTAGTATTATCTTTGACTGGTAAAATGGGATTTTCCCAAACGTCTTCAATAACTTTCTTTAAAGGGAAGACATCTTCATGGAATCTTACATCTCTGGTTCTTATGACCTTTCTTTTTTCAGGATCATATATCCTGTAGCATGTACTTAATTGGTCATATCCAATCATTATTCCTTTACTACTTCTGGATTCTAATTTTCCAATTTTTCCATAGTGGCTGATATTATAGTAAACTAGACATCCTATAGTTCTTAGTTTCTTATTATTGGGAATTTCTTTCATGAACATCTCAAATGGACAACCTCTCTTTGTTTCAACTACATTATGTAAGTAGCTCACTGTGGACAATATTTCTGCCCACAAGAATTTTGGGAGACTAGCATCAATCATGATGGTCCTGACCCTTTCCATAAGAGTTCTGTTCATTCTCTCTACTATTCCATTATTCTGAGGAGTGTGAGGAGTAGTTTTTATGTGGGTGATCCCAAAATCTCTCAAGACATCTTGGAATTCTTCTCCAATAAATTCTCCCCCTCCATCAGTAATAATCCTCTTGAGGTTCTTTAGAATTCCCATTCTATGCCACTTTTTAAATAAAAGCATAGTTTCTTCTGCTGTATCATCTTTATTTCTAATGGGTTTTACCCAAGTGAAATTACTAGCAGTATCAACTAAATTTATGAAATATTTGGCTCCCCCTAATGATGCTGGATTGAAGGGGCCTGCCAAATCTATGGAGTATTCTTCTCCAACTTTAACTGTCCTATTTCTTGACTTTGAAAATTTATTCCTAGTCATTCTGCCAAATTTGCAGCTTTCACAGTTTTCATCAGTCACCTTGTGACCTGATCTTCTGTGCATGATGGAAGAGTAAACACTGGCTTCTATTGGCTTTAAATTAGCATGTAGTAGTCTTGATTTGACTTCTCCATCAAATATGGTTTTATTTTTCTTTTTAATGTGGAACATTTTTCCAGAATTCTCAATTTGGATTCCATGGCTCCACAAACTAGTTAATGATAACAAGTTGTATGGTAAATCTGGGACAAAGTACACTGTTTTAAGCTCTATTATCTTGTTGTTACTGGAAATAAGTTTAACATTGCCTTTTCCTTCAATCTTTATTGATCTGCCTTTTTCGCCAATATTTACATTGCCATTACATACAATAAAGTTGTTGAAGAATTTTCTTTGATTAAACATATGGTCTGTACATCCTGAGTCAACTAAAATCCCACTAGATCCTCTGTCTGTGTGTGATAATAGGCCATAGTTAATAATTTGAACAGAATTGTTCACAGAATTTGAGTTAATGGTTTTACTCACATCTGCTTCATAGCCAGAGTTAGATTGAGCACCAGTTGCTTCTTCTGGTTCCTCTTCTTCTATTGGGAGTGGAACTCTTTTGAAAACATCATCTTGGATGTATCCATCCATGTCAACATTCTCAGTGAAGTTGGCTTTCTTAGCCATCAAACTGGTTGCTTCTTCCTCTTCGTAGTCACTGTGGTGATCAGCCAGATTGGCCTTCTTATTTTTATAAGAGAATTTGTTAGTGTATTCTTTTTCTTTACTGCCAGACCAACAGTCTTTGGCAATGTGTCCAAGTTTATTACAGTTGTGACACTTTACCCTTTTTTCTTTATTGAATTTGTTGAAATTCTTTTTGTAGGGTTTTTTAGTGAAAAGAGCCTCGGCACCTTGATCCTTGGTGCTGAATTGGAGTTGGTCCTTTTCAATTTTCTTTAAGACCTCTTCTTCATCGGGGATCGGCTCCATTTGTGAGATGATCCTAACAAGCGATTCATAGGCTCTGGGTAGTTTCTGTAAGATCAGGAGTGACAGGCACTCTGAATCCATTTTTAAACCAGTCGCGCGAAGTCGCGAAATGGATCCCCTGACCTCATTCACAAAGGTAGTCGCATCGGCGAATCTGATTTGGTTTAAGTTGTTGAAAGCGACACTTTTTGCATGGGTCGTATTACCTGCAAACTTGCTTTTGAGCAAGCTCCAGGCGACCGATCCTTTTCCTTTTTCGTCGCTTTTAATAACGTTTGCCAGGTAGCCAAGCACCCCCTCGCTCAAATAGCGAACGATAAGGTGATAGCCTTTCTTTTCCTTTTCCGGTGATACATCGCTCGAGCTATCCGTTGTAATATCAATACAACCGATGTTGTCAAGCTCGCTCTCCATGAGCGTTGACCACACATGATAGTTACTGTCGTTCAACAGTATTCTATGGGTTGATTGATAAGAAGTTGAGTCGGTCATTTTTTTTGCGATATTGAGATCGGGTGTCAGTCCGTACTGATAATGTGTTGTTGTTGGGGGTTTGATTTGAGGGAATTTATTTGATGAGTCTCTAATATAATAGAGTGAAAAGGGTACAAAGGTATTGGTGGTAGTTGTTGTGAGTGTGTGCGTGTGTGTGTGGGTAAGTGGTTAAGATAAGATGATAAAGTGAATGGATGAGAGATACAAAATGGAGGAAAAGGGAACTGATATTTATACAAGAATATTGCTGCTAAGTCATTGGTCTCAGCAGCCTGCTTTCTTGTGGAGAAAGCTCCATGAGACATTTTATCTAGGAGGAAAGTACTTGTGTACTTTCTTCTGGGGAAAGTAAACTTTTACTTTCAGAAGAGAAAAAGTAAAGAGTTACTTTTTCTTCTTAAAGGGAATGCTCCAGTTCTCTGGTGCATTACTTCTTTTATTGCTTTCTGATACACCATGCTCAGCAGGTGTGGCAGCAGGCACATCACTGCTGATGCCATTGCTGCTTGTATTCCCTTCTACAGGGATTACACCTTCAACAGTTATCTTCTTGGATTCTTTTTATAAAGGGGGATTGGGCAAGAGTGAGGCAGGATGTAGTGTAAGTATAGTGTTCCTCACGATTGGGATGAACTGGCATTGAGTGGCCTTGAATTATTTATATTTTGAATGATAACTGGAGAAATGCGGAAAATATGCCTGTGATCATTGCATCACAAACCTCTGCAATAACATCAGTCCATTTTATCTGGTGTGTGATGTACCAAGATTCAGCACCTTGGTTGGACCAGCCATCACATTATTTTCTGATTCAACTCACATTTTGGGGGAAATCTGTAAATTATTTAATTGGTTCAAGCCCCCTGGAAGTTAAAGTATTTTGATATGCTTCCTCACCTGCCTGACCAATTGACATCTGTTTAATTTCCCATGTTTCTCAGGACACAAAGTATTCACCTAATATTTTATGAGTATTTGCCTAAATCCTTTGAACTCTCCAATAGAATGAGTGGGCCAGTGATTAGATTCCATCAAGTGGTTGCTGATATGAGTAATTTTAGCCATAGATTTGTTGTTGATAGTGATGTTAGCCATAGATTTGTTGTTGATAGTGATGTTAGCCAAGTATTTGTTTTTGATTGTGATGAAACCTATATTACCTATGACTTGAGATTATAACTGACTGAAACAAGTTTCAGCTACTCCAATTAGAATGGGTAATTGTGGAAAGGTTGTAGTTAGTGTGTTGAGGAATACCCCCATGATAATTAGTCCCACCAAATGGTTTAATATCTTTTGAGCTCCACCTATGTCCTTATTGCTGCCTAAATGATTGTCAGAGCTGATTCACTTCTCATTATTCTTATGTTTTAAGTGTTGCACCAACCATCTGTGTCCTGCCATTTGAACCAGAATCAAGAGTGAGCTGGCGGACTCTCAGTTATTGACACATAATGGTTATTGACACATAAATATATTATTGTTAAATACTTTATTGACCCATAGATTGTTACTGAGACATTGGAATCTACTGATATCCAGTTTTTGAATCTCCAATTCTATAAACAGATAAAATTGACCCAGCTTATTCACAAGTGGGTTTAATCATATATTTAACCCCAGTGAGGTCAGGCATGGTAAGATAAGACACCTCTCTGTCCTACAAATCCATTTGTCTTAGGGTGATCAAAATTGGCACAGTGAGTTTTACTTGTTTGAATAATGTAAGATTTTGGCTGGGACCTGCCAGCATACTTGAAAATCCAATTGACACATAATCTGAAAAATTGCATATTATGTGTAATTATGCCAATAAGTAAAAATATATTTAGTATCTTTGAACAATCTATGTATTCATAAAGGATAGTTGAGTAGGATACAATTTGAAATGGGTCAGAGTTGTTGCTCATTCCATACCTGTGCAAATCAGATGAAACAAGCAGGGACCAATGAAAAATCATTTACAACTGCAGACTATTGTGTTGGCCACATGAAAGGCAAGGGGCCAACACAAACAGTTACCTTATACTGTGAAACATTATTTACCCCTTCTCACAAGACTGTAAGAGTAAAGTCTCACATTAATTTTGTGTGCCGATGAAATTTTGTGTATATGCATACATAAACGATTGTCCAATTACATGGAACATGGAAGTGTAGTACGATGTGGACCCATGTTATGTAAGCCATACTTTAATTCCAACCAATCTCAAACCTTTCTCATCTTCGGCTGAAATTTGTAAGTCACTGTCCAAACTCAGCGTACAACGTACATTGACTTCTCACCACTTCACCCAACAGATTGGGAACTCAATTTATCTTTTGGTACGTGATCTCTTTGATGATTTTTCTTTTGGTTTGTGCTTTTCAACTTGACTGATTTTGATTATTCTTTAGCCAATCTTGAATCGTGGAAATGCGAGGATTTCAAGGCGAGGGAGGCAAACAACAGCGCCGAACCAAAAAACCACGTACAGCTCGTGGACAGGCATTCCTTCAAGAGATTGAACAAGGATCGCAAGAGTTTATTCGTTCGTTAAACGCCCCAACAAACACCTTGCCTCACCCGAATCATAGTACAAACCAGCTACATGGACTTGATGAAGATGAACAACGATTTGAAGACGGCCGTGATGGATCTCACGACCGGGAACCCGAACAAATTGATCATCGTGTTCAACAATTGCAAGATTATCTTCAAAGCCAGGATTACATTCACCGGAAGATTTTGGAGGAAAAACAGTGGGATGAAGTATATGACCAAATGTTCTCCCATTTCTACGAGTGTGCCTCAAAAACTGCCTCTTGGGGTAACCCTGACAATTGGGATCACGACTGGAAACCACAATGCCAATGCACTCACCCCCGATCCCGACCTGTTGTATTTGTTGACCTTCTCAGTTGAGCCCCTTTCCTTGTGATCCAAGTTTTGAATGAGTATTGCCTACCCCTTACGCAAATTCTACCAGTTCGAAAACAGGAAACAGTCGGCTTTTGTGATTGTTATCCTGACCAAGTACGGCTTATCCAGATGGGCTACATGGGCGGTTCCCCGAGGTTCCCCAGGACAGCTTTTTCGATCCGCCTTCTCAGATTTCATCACATCCTGTGGAAGAGAAGTGTAGTTGCAATGTCCCCTTTTTCCAAAGCAATCGATGAATTCCTTGATGCATACAACCCCCTGATTCTGGTTAAAAATAACACTGAAGATTCTAATTCAGCCTGCAGTGTATGTTAGATCCAACCTATATAATAAATATCAATAGTACTCAATGCTTCACTCTCTTTAGACTCGGGAATGGAGGAAGACTTTGTCCTCAGCGGTCGATGCCTTCCGTGAGATGATCCGAAGAGAGAAGTGCATATTGGATCTGATGCTTAATCTGGGACCAATGGAGAAGCTAGCTGATCTTTGTCCAAAGTGCTTTGGACCACACATACCCGGAAAAAAGGATCATGAGCCGGATTATATACTCTGCATGGATGGAAATTTTCAACATCGGAGACATCTAAAAGCCAGTGTTGAAATCCCCGATAACATCAAAAATCCAAGCTTATTTGTTCCGCCAGAGGAGGTTCAAAACATGGAAACATGTATGGAACAAGGAAGTGCTGAAAACTCAGAAGAAGACTCAGAAAATCAAGCACCAGTGAGCCTAATATTCCCATCATCAGGTCAATGTTTTCTATGCTGAACTTGTTGGATATTAAATACAGGATCGATGCACTGAGCAGCATACTGCAGCAAACGATGTGCGCACCGGAACAACCTGGAGGGAGTGCGATGAAACTGGGCTTTTTGGCATGGCATGCCGGCATGATCAAATAATCAACCTTATCAATATTGTCCAAAGTGGTGAGAAGTGAGTTATTTCATGTTCAAACTCAATTCAGCATGAAATTATATTAAATGTGCATGATTTACTCCACAAGGTATTACTTCCCATTGACAATGATCAATAAAATCATTGGAAATACCAAACAGGGTGAAAGACATACAAAAAAGCTTGCTTTTTTGTACGATATCGGATGTAACATTGAAAAAGGTATAATACGGGTAAGTGAGACTTACAGATATCCTTCAGGACTTTGAACCACTGTTAATTTCTGTTTCAAATTTACAATTTTCAGAGAAATCAATTTCCCGAGCACCTTGAGCATAATCTTCTCAGTTTTGGAACAAGCGTCTTTCATGCTTATGTGCACCAGTGGACATGTCAGCTCCGATACAACCCAAGGTTGAATGATGGCTGGGGTATGTCGGATGGAGAAGGGATGGAACGAATCTGGTCATTCTTGTCACCATTGATTCGACAACTTAGATATGCAACCAAGAACCACAGGCTGCAGGCACTTGAAATACGGTCCCAACATCACAATGATGTTGGTAAGGTGTATGCACGTAAGTTAATTTGAATTCCAAATCCTCTTGGAAACTGATAGGAAGATCACTTACAAAATACAGTTAACTTGCTTTTTGAACGAGGTACACATGTTGAGGCATTGAAGAAAAAAGCCATGGATGAGCTTCATGTTCTCCAAGAGGAGCATGGCCATAGCAGTGAATTTTTTGAGCAACAGTGGATCCGTCAACGAGAAATTCAGCTTTCAGTTATGGAGACCGAGAGTGAAAAGGAAATGTTGAAACAAATTGAAGAACTAGTGGAATTGGAGGATAAACTCCGGGAGACCAAGTGTGTTTTATTGGTTGTATATCCATGTTTGCCTCAATAATATCTGATTTCTTTTTAAATAAAGTGATGAGCTACTTTTACTTCGGCAAACCAGGAGAAGAAACAGGACAGCCACTCAAAGGCAGCAGCTGGAGTTACTCCCCGAGACACTAATCTACCTAGAGGGTGAAATAGAAAACATAATTGTGGACCTTGGATCAGAAAATTTTCGCAATTTGCCGGGAGCAACTGGTGAGGAACTTTATGTGAAGCTTTGAATTTATCTTATGTTAAAATATTTCTCATTGTTGTGTGTGGTTCTGTCAGATGCGGAATCAAAGGCCTTGATCAAATTGAAATTCAGTAAATCTAAACTATACGAAGCAAAGGTTGGGGTGATTGAGATGCAAAGGAAATGGGATCAAGGAGGATCAGGTTTGACCATCATATTACAATTCAATGGTTTGTCAGAAATTTCTAACTCAAGTTTAATAGGAACCCGAGTCCAAGAGAGATACAAGAAGCAGATGACTTCCAAAGTCAATACCTTAAAGAAGAAATGGCTCGCTTACAACAATCGTGCAGAATCTTACAACTCTGAATTCTCACCTGGGAGAATCTTAGCCACTCCCACGCTGGATGACGTCAAAGCTTATGGTATAGACGATGTGTTCTGGAATATGGGTGCACTCAGCCATCCGGATGAACCCTGGGCAGTCGACTTGAATGTTCAACAAGGGATTCAGGCCTACCTAACCCTAACCCACTGCCACGATGAACTCCGTAGAATTGCCCATGAAACAAGACAGGCTATACAATGGGCGATAAAGATAGGCGGGGATCTTGATCAGATTGAAAATTGCTTGATAGCAGGTAAGTTGCACTCTGGTTGAATTTTGATGGAATGTTGAATCAAAAACCTATTGATAATCCTTCTTCTTGTTTGTTCTAGAAACCCAAGAAACAGATGTTCCAACCGAGATACATCAAAGGCTACCAGAAATATGCCTGGTAAATCACATTCCACTATCAGTATTACAGTCGATCTTTGGACGCTTGGCGCAAAAGTTCTGTCGCTTATGGATGACATGGAATACAAAGTGTAAGAAGCTTTTGCGCTGGAGCGAAAAGTATGTCAGCCATCAAGAGAATCCCAATCATGAGATGGAAATAATCGATCAGTGGGAAGTGCTGATAAATAACTCTAAGAGGATGTGGGAGAAGCTGGTAAGAGGATGCTCTGTTGTCACAGAAATAGGAAACCAAGCGGATCACAATGAAGAAGAGATTCTTGACCAAGAGGCTGTGGAATATGCTGAAGGGAACCCCGATTATGAATGATGTAAATATGTGGCACACCATTGTTCAAGTGCAATTCATTTTTATCCTCTTGTGATTTCTCGCCAGTTTCAAGGTGCTGGAAAATAAGTTGGTGTTTCATTACTGAGGACCAAAGGGGTTGTATTTATAGATGAGACAAGAGATTGTGGTGCTCAAGTGATAAGAGAAGAGAATTATAAGGAAAGACCGAGAGCGGTCAGAAGGATACAAGCTATGGCCAAAGCCATTTACCTTAAGCGGTCTATGAGGTGTAATGCCTTATGGGGAAGCTGGGGCTTCACACTCTAAATCTGATGAATTCAGGAAAGCCATTGTTTCCTGCTGCTTTAGAGATATTTACATTGTGTCTTGAAGCGAAGTGAGAGTTTAAGTGGATGGGTGAAGGGGTTTACTGATCGGAGTGTCTTCAAGCAAAGTGAGATTGTCAGAGGATGGGTGAAGGGGCTTACTGGTTGTGACAAAGCCTCCTGAGCTGCTTGAGTGACAAGGTTGTGTGAAAGTTCAAGCTGCAATTAAGAGCTGCCGAGGTGAATGAGCTTCTGGAGCTGAGTGAGCTGCCCAAGGTGAATGAGCTGGTAGCTCGAATCATGAGCTGCCCAAGCTGCTTGAGGAGCTGAGTGAGCTTCTCAAGCTGCGGAGCTGAGGCTGAGTGAGCTTCTCAAGCTGTGGAGCTGAGTGAGCTACCTGAGCTGAGTGAGCTTCTCAAGCTGCTTGAGGAGCTGAGTGAGCTACCTGAGCTGAGTGAGCTTCTCAAGCTGCTTGAGGAGCTGAGTGAGCTACCTGAGCTGAGTGAGCTTCCCAAGCTGCTTGAGGAGCTGAGTGAGCTGCCTGAGCTAAGTGAGCTGGTGCAAGAAAGTGCAAGAAGTCCAAGCTGACTGACTGAAAATGGTTACACCTGTTTACATAGTTGTACTGCCTGGCCTAGAAATGTTCAAGCATCTCCATAAAATTAAGAATGCCACTTGGGGATAATATAATGTCTTGTGTTGATAAATTATTGGGCCATTTGGAGCTGACTGAGCCAGCTCCTAACATTTTCGGCTTTTATCCGAGGATAAGTACAAATTATCTTCGGTCAATAGCCGAAGGATTATAGTGACACAGGTGCTTCAACAAGGGGATTTTTATTCTGGCCACTCCATGTCTGGTATGGGCCCAGGTGGATAGCATCGAGCCAGGCCATTGGCCCATTGAATTGCGCAATTGCATGCACATGGAGAGGACACCAGTCAATGAGCAAATTACGTGTACAGAGTATTACACCTGTACTGGTCGACATCAACATATGTGCCGCTCTGTGCGTGCTGGTCAGATGCAACAATGTACTACTTGTGGAGATTTAGCCGACCCCCAATATGTTGGAGACTGTGTCTTTGGGGACCACACTCAAGTCCGGGAATGCAATATACATTGTTGAAAAAGTTGGGAATGGTACAAATAACCTGGTCTGAATAACCAACCCGCAACCTCTGAAAAAACATACACGGTGCACAAGGAACCTTTTTTTCTATGGCATTGGTAGTCTGTGATTGCCTGAACCACTCATTTGGTCTCCTCCCGCTGCTGCATGTAAGGGAAAATTTCTTGCACTCATTTGGTCTCCTCCCGCTGCTGCATGTAAGGGAAAATTTCTTGCCCCATACAAATATAGGATCATCATATGGGATATAAGACATGCACTTTTTTTTTGTACAAGAGGTTGTGTGCTACCATGTCTAGACAAACTGTCATTATATCTATACAACAACACCAGAATTGGTTGAGTATGACAAGTGAACCCTGACAGAGGTCTGGAATCAAGTGTATAGAATAGTAAACCACAAGCTAGGGTATCCTGGTGAAAGAATACTCCTAGAAAAGCTTGGAAAGAACTTCAGAATCAGAACATCCATAATTTAAGTTCTGTTTTCTGTTGGTTGGAAGGATGATGTTTCTTATATGGGGCATGGAGGGGGGAGGAAACAAGCCACTTGGGTTACAAATTACCTTCTGGCTGGGATGAATATACTTGGAGTGGTCTTTTAAGATACACTAGCCAACTGCTAAGCCCTATTCCCAGGGTCCTCTCTTTTGGATCATTTTTCTCCACAATTTATACTCCTATTCTCAGGACATAGGCACTGGCAACATAGTGTAGTTAGTTAGACCTGCCCTTTGTCTGGGCACCCTTTTCCCCAAACCTCCTTGGTTCAACTCTCTGTCAAGACAGAATCACCACCCACATCTACCTGCTCTGATGCTCTTCAACAAGGGGATGCTGATACTGGCTGGCGCCCCATGCCTGGTACTGGCTTCAACAAGTCCTGCATGGAGCTATCGTCCAAATATGGTGGCTGAGCAGGCAAATTGCGAGCACCCATCATGGAAACCGGCTCCAGATTTAATGCTCTGCCGCGATAAATATGTCTGTAATCATTGTGGAGACGAACATTCATGTGGCTATCAGCGTCAAGCTTGGGTCGAAAAATGCACCAAGTGTGGATATCTACAAAACCCTACATACAACGGAGACTGTCCCCTTGGGAAACCCATCCCCAAAAATATGCCCTGTTGTGACAGGTGCCGGATTGTACATCCAATCCATTGAAAAGTCTGAAATCGTACAAATATAACCCAGTCTTCACAAGCCACTTGTCTCTGCTGACAAAACATACCCGGTGCAGAAAACCTTTTTTTTTTCTGCAGTCTTAATGATTGCCTGTGATTTCCCTTCCTCACTTGGTATCCTTCCCCCTGCAAAATTATTTGCCCAATATGAGATATGGCTTGTGCGGTTTCTGTACAAAAGCTTGTGCTGGACCACTTGTGAACAAATGTAAAAACAACAACATAGTCAGTTCAGTATACCCCTCTCCCAAAGATCTTGTGATTGCAAGAGCACACCCAGAGCTTACAGGGTATCTCAGTAGAAGAGTCCTCCCAGAACTGCTTGGAAAGAACTTCAGAATCAGACCATGTGTAAACCTGGAACAAAGCCTGTTTTTTTAATTGTTCTGATTGCATGGGTAACAAGCCACCTTAATTACAAATGTCCATGTTCTTTCTAGCTTAGATTAATCCAAGTAGAGTGCGCTTCAAGATACACCAATCAACAGTTACATAATTCACACTATTTCAAACAATGCACTATTTATTTTTTTTCAAGTTTGCTGAGAGGGTTTCTGCAACGCTTTGAGGGAAGAGGTATGATGAAAACTGCAAGATGCAGATAGAAAAACAAGCAAGATGTGATGAAGAAAAGAAAGCGAATCAAGAGATCATGGGGGATGATGAGATACAGGATATGTGCTGGTCCGAAGGCAGAGGATGAACTGGTAACTGGATTTACATTGGTTTGTTTGCCAAGAAGGGTGTATGGTGGAGATGATTGAAAGTGATTTAAAGGGAGCAAGGGTATATTAGACGACCTCGGAAGAAGAAGAAGAAGACGGGATTCAAGAACATTTGTTTCGAAGAAGAAGAAGAACTCTATAGCTACGAGCACATATGATAGATGCGAACAAGAAGAGGGGGGGAAAGAAAGGAATAAACAAGAAGGGTCCAAGTTCACGAAGCAGAGGAAGCGAATAACTGAGGTTGGAGGACCCCGACCGTAAATGAGGGACTGCTTGAGCCACTCGAAGTCGACGACTTTGAACGAGTCGGGAGTGGGGACGTCGCTGACATGACTAGAGGCGGAGGCAGTCCGGGCGAGTTTCCTGCGCTTGGCCGGGAGTTGGTTGGAGCGTGTGCGGACGGCCGTCGGCAGCTTTGTCAGCCCCAGATGGTCTTCCAAAAGCAGATAATCCACCCCGCTGAGGGCCCCGCTCTCCAGATGCTCCGTCAGCGCTTTCGCCTCCGCAAAGCCCAGCCTCGTCGCCCCGCTCGCACACAGAATCGGCTTGACGGTCTCGTTCCACTGTGTTTCGTGCCACAAGAAGGATAGAAACAAGTTAATCCAACAAGCTAAAAATCATGGAGATATCAAGATGAAAAGAAAGCCAAGAGCACTCACGTCGCTCTTCGGCTTAGCCTTCGAAGAAACGTAGATGATCGATTTGTCCTTCAGGATCTCGAGAGAGCCGCGGGCGTCGAAGATCGCTTTGAGGTCGTGATCGGCGCGACGAAGGAGCGGGATCTGGAGGTTAACGAGTGCGGGGACGCCGCCGAGGAAGATCGAGGGCCCGGGGCCGATCATATATTTCTCCCAATCGAGCGCATATCCCTTCATACCACACACATGTCAGAATAATAATTCAAGGGAGAGGGAAAGGGGAGAGAGAGAGGAATGTGCTCACTTGTTCGCAACTATGGGTCACCCATTTGGCGGATACACATGGGATGCCTAAGGCCAGAGCCAAGAGATATTTCAACGTTTTGACCGGCACCTCAGCGACCAGCAGGATGGACCTCAGTTTGAGGTGCTTGTGCGCAGGGGAGAGCCGGTAGGAGGGGGGACAGCCAGAGAGTAAGGGAGTCGAGAGAGAGGTAGCAAGGCCAGAGCCGGGCTTGTTGAGGAGGACGAGATCGGAGCCATCGAGCTCGTACAGTTCAGCGACTTTGTCGATGACGGTGCCATGACGATCGCGGATCTGCTGCTCGATGAGACCGCGCGAGGAGGAGCTTGATTGGGTGCGTTTGCGGGTGGCAGGCTTGGGCTCGACGGCAGAGATGGCGGCGCCGGTGAGGAGGATACCGAAGCCCTGGAAGATGTGGTCGGGCCCGACGAGCTGGCCGGACCGGCCTGACTGGGGGACCGCAAGCTTGGCACGCATGCCTACTCCACTGTGGGCCCTCATGTGCTCGCGCAGCTCCTGGATAATCTGTTGTGGCAGCGCTCGATCCTTCAGCCCTGTGTGCCGGCGAGAACCCGGAGGAATGAGCATGATGGCCTCGACCAGGAACCGGCCTTCTGGCCGACTCGACCCGCCCGATGTCCCCGACTGGGCCTTATAATCACTCTCATCACACGTCACCAAAAGATCGTTGTGAGAGTTGATCGGCCCCACCGAATCGACCGCTCTTTCCACCCGCAGAACCCGCTTCGGCTCACGCACAGTCGTCACTTGTGACTCCCCATCTGCGAGGTCCGTCCCGATGTACTTCACTACATCACCCGCCCGGATGTGACAGAGACGCAGTTGGGTGAGATCTCGAGGCTCCGAGCTCTGATCGTCGTATCGGACTATCACTTTGTCCGGAGTCACCGAGCTCACCTGGCCCGGAGCAAAAGCCTGCCAGTCTGATCGGTAGGCCAACACTCTTGGAACCGACAAGACTGGAGGCATGTTAGTACCCGAAGGAGGCTCTGGTGGTGGCGGGCGCGGGGTTTTGGATCTAGAGGACCGGGGCAGCTGGGACCTATCCAATCGAGGGATGACGACAGAGACCGCAGGGGATGGCCGACGAGATACGGATTTGAGATTGGAGCGTTTAGCAGATCCGGACGACTTGTCAGACGATCGACTGGTGTTCACCGGAGCCGACAGGGAGCTCGACTCTTCTCCAGAGACACCCGGGTCCACCTGCAAGGATGAGTGGTCACGGGCCCGACGGGAACCTCTTTTGTTCTGGCGTCCGGAACCCTCCTCTTCTATATCCGAAAGCGCCGAGTTTGTCTCCTGGTCCGTTTCGTAATGTGACCTCTTCCTATTTGTCACTGCGGGCAGTACGCGCGCTTCTTTCAGATCGACTA